GCCTCATGCGGGGACACATCAAGACCCTTCAGCCCTCAGAACCCTCCCGGACAATTAAGACAAGGTTGTGTCAACCTTGAGTCTGTGGCTTGGCCCCCTGCTGGCGCTTCCCATGCCTCAACAACTGCCTTCTATAGAAGGGCGGCCTGGAATAGAGGCCCCAGCTGGATAGCCCTACCCCAACCAAGGTCACAATGCTTGTGGCGATGCCCAAAAATCCGAAAGATTTGCGGCCGAAAAAACAAGATTCAACGCCACCATGAAACTCCCCAAGGTTTCCAAAAGTAACGGGCTTCCCCCAACACAGATGCTTTCTATTTCTCTCCAAATGACAAGGATTTCATCACAAAGGGACCCGCCTTGGATGGAGGCCAGCCCTCCATTCACATCATCCCAGTATTCTTCGATTCAATGTAGGCTGCTGGAACAAAAGGTTCCTCGCAGATTGGCCCTGATGTACTTGACTCCATTGAGTTAAGCAAGATCAGAATTGACTGTCCGAAGGGCAGCTTGGTGTACATGCCTGTGCCAGTTTGCAAGGTCCTCCAAAAATCTCAGCTGGCTTGTCCAAACCTTGTCGCCTCAGAAGTCACCAACATGTTGGGGTCCCAAGGTTGTCCCCTCTTGCGCGCCAGGATCCTAAAAATACTTGAGAAAGGGACCAACAAGGTCTGCTCAAAAAAACTAACCAATATTAACCAATCATATCACGTTGCGGTCCTCCCGAACCCCCCCCCCCCCCCCAATAAAAGCACCCCCGCGGAAGCTCGCAAGCCAAACAAACCGTGCCGGCAAAGGGGCTGTCATTTGTGGCTTGGCATGGGCGTAGTCAGCTTCAATGCCACTATGAAACTCCCCAAAGTTTCCAAAAATAACGAGGCCACCCCCAAAATTCACTGCGTCTGTTCTTTCTATTTCTTTCCAGATGACAAGGATTTCATCACAAAGGGACCCGCCTTGGATGGAGGCCAGCCCTCCGGAAAACCCCGGACACACCCTGCGCGCCCATCCAGGCCTGCACCAACTCTGGCATCGGCGCCACCCGGACCTCCTCCTCATCGTCACTGCACACACCCGCCATGGATCGCAGCCAGGCAACCCGGCGAAAGCTAAGCAGAGCCACTTGTGCTTAAAGAAGGCGTCGGTAAGCGCGTGTGGGCATGACAAGGCGCGTGCCAATGTGCTCTCAAAAGCTCAGTTGCGCGTGCGGGGGTAGGTGTCTGTGGATCCTGGACCTGGGCTGCGGTTTGGGGCAGGTCGCCACGGTCACCGAAAAGAACCTTTGGCACTTTTTGGAAGGACACTGTGGCAGTCAGCGCACAAGAAGTCAAACCATGTGCAGAAGCGAATGGCACCCCACGTGCGCTTATCCGCGCCTCCTGTAAGCACATACAAGTTGCAAGCAGCACATATCTACGCGCCGTGCTGGTCTCCCGTGCGCTTACCGACGCCTCTCGTAAGCACAAGTCTCGCTCGCGCAAAAATCTGAGGAAACTAAGAAAGTTGGAGCTACACAGATTCGGCGCTCTTCTCTTCGGTTGCTGATGCTAATTGCTTCCACACATGTCCGCGTGCTTTGCACTTCTACACCGTGAGCCAATTTGATTGTCTGGCTAGTTGCGGATGGCTGGCCGTGTTGTAGCTGCTTGTGCTGGTTCCTGAACACTTCCCGAGGCAAGCTTGTCTGCAGCAAAGTTGAGTATGGCCTTCCACTTGCTGGGACACCATGCGTAAATTGTTACAGAAAGCGCTGTGTCGGGGTATGTTACATTGTGCTTTGAAGCCCTCAGGGCTACATGGACACAGGTGCGCCAGTCGGGCCTTCATCAGGTCCACTACGCAAGCAACTATGCGTGTTTTACTACGCTGTTTGCTGACAGGACCCGCCACGCCATCTCTGGTTGCTTTTGCATTTAGAGGTTACACGTGTGTGGGTGGAACCATAGAGAGGGCTGCGTCCCTTTATCAAGATATCGTGTTCGAAGTGGCCAGGTTCACAAATGCCAAAAATATGTTGTCACAAATGGTGTTGAGATGCTGCTATTGAATCTCGAAGCTCAGTTTGTTTTGTTCTGCTCGGTTACTACCCCTAACATGTATCCTAGCTCTCCCCTGACCTACCAAAGCCCTCATTCTTATGACCCTACTACGACCAAAACCCTGGCTCCTATTATGGGCGATGGGTCTGTAGTCCTGGTGTAGGTTTGAAGGTTTAGGCTGAGTCAAGGATTTGGAGTTTAAGCGTTATGTGTTTAGAGTTTTTCGCTTTCAGGTTTTAGGTTTGAGGCCCAGGAAGGTTTAAGACTCGAGGCCTGAAGGCCATGGGGGCTCGGATATAGCGGGGCAGGGGGTTTATGTGGTACCTTAATTTGAAGATAAAAGCACTGCGACGGCGATCATTTCGCCGACTGTGCTGGCTCTATCAAAGCCCTCATTCCTATGACCGTGCTACGACCAAAGCCCTGACGCCTATTATGGGTCTGTAGTCATGGTATAGGGTTTAAGGTTTAGGTTGAGTCGAGGGATGTGGAGATTGAACAAAACACCAAACTAAACACAACCTAACCAGCCAAGAGACAAACATACCAACCAAACCAACCAACCAAACCGACAAACACACCAACAAACATGAAACAGCACAGAGCATGGCCAACAGCCAAACACGCTCTGCGGCCTAAACAGTGAAATTGTTGCTGGCAACAGAGAAGACAAGATCCCCAGCGGCGAAAAGGGAAGTTCAACCTAACCTGGCAATTTTGGTTGGGCGCAAAAGGCTTTGGGGAAGCCGATGCCCCTTCTGAAACTGCGTGTCATCTTGGCAGTGGGAGCCCTAGCACGCCCTCACGAAACCATGTGCCACAATGCCACAAATTACCCTCCCGCAAAAAATGGAAGCAGGGCCTTTTCTAAAAGGAAGGTAGTCTTGCGAAATGGTTTTTGGACCAAGCAATGGGAGGAAAGTGACAAAAGTTCGACGTTTTTTTTACAATGCTTCTTCTCCGCTGGGCCAAAAGCCAGCCTGCGAGTGACGCGCTCGAAGATCAGCAGCTGCGATAGCAGCCGCGGTCTCCGCACCTCTCCGGCTCCGACACTCACTCCACGCACACACCAATTCCACATGTGCGACATGCACAGGTTCCGCCAGAAAATGACAGCCAAAGAAACATCCAGGATATTTGGTTTGGTCCGTTGCTCATGCGCCATCAAAGAAAATTGCCAAGCACGTGCAGGCTCCCACCCAACTAAGTTGGAGGAATTTTCGTTCGCACCCATGTCACCTCAAGGCGCACCCCTGCCTTGAGGCTTTGAGCAGTGGAGTAAGCAGAAGACTTGAAGGGGCACCATCTCTGGAGACCCTGCCAAGCATCACAAAACTAAGTCTAAGTTCGCAGAAGAACTTAGAAAATGCCACCGTGCTTCAGAACCCCTGCCTCGCCTTCGCCGAAGCACTTCGCAGAACCCTCTGTAGAACTTCCAAAAAATAGGCAAGTAGAGAACCTGCTTCCCAGAACCGTGTTTTGCCGACGTACTTCGCAGGACCCCTCACCGAAGAAAAACGTGCAGAACGACTGCTGGGAACACAGCGCGCTGTCTCCCTTCTTTTTCCCCTTCTTTTTGCCTCGCGGGTTCCGCCCACTTACTATTTGGTGCCCAGCTCGCACCAAACCTGGAGCCCTGACAATGTGGAATCTAAACCGCAAAAATGCTTGGCTCTTCTTTCAAGCGTTTCGACAAGTTGACTAGCTAAGCACATTTGATTTTCAATATTGATCCCAAATGCTTTTATGTGCCGTACGCACTTACTTTGATGTTCAAAGGCAATAGTTATTCAAATTGTCTAAAGCAAGCAAACTTCTCCGGATTGATCAATTTTGTTTCCTCACATTTCCCTTCCAATCAACCCCAAAAACAGATTCTCTTGAAAAAGGCACACCCCGCCAAAATTGGGATCCTCCAAACCAAAACCAAGGGGCTAGCCTCTAGAATATGTATATATACACACATGGTCATGAGTCATGTGTATATATATATATATACATGGTCATGAGTCATGTGTATATATATATGTTGCGCATTATGTCCAAGAGATCCCAAAGGCCCACTTGCCCGGGCCTACACACACCCACGGTCCCCGGCCTGAGACCGGCAAAAGACAGGCACACCCAAGCTTGGAGCCGAAAGCGGGCGCCTTTTGCCTACCGTCTTGATATGCGGCTTCCTGACTTGGCTGGGCCGGCGCCAAGACATAGGCCTGCGTTCTGTTTAGCGTATTGACCTAGCACTTCCACACGATGGTGTTTTTGAATTAAGCGCATTCGCGCAGACTGGTGAGTTGCAATTGCTTCCCAAATGGACTGGCCGAAGCTGCTTAGCTCTATGCACTCTTTTACGGCAAGCATCCGTCTGATCTCTTGTGGATGCTGATGGTAGGGTCTAAATTGGCTTCACTAGCAGGGTCTAAAATGCTCATGGGACGATTCTAGACCCCTAGCCTTTAAGCCCCCAGGGGTACCTGAGGGTATGTAAATAAAATGTTCAGGGTTTGCACACATGTGGGGAACTTTCCTCCCGTCGGAGTTCGAGGCATCTGTTTCCAGTTTGGTGTAGCGGCCCCTTAGAAGTACGGTTGGGGTAGGGGGTGAGGCGCTGGCAGTGTGCACTTGCAGGCTGGGGGACAGAGGTTGGAAACCCCCATTTCATAGGGGACCTAACGTCACCCCTCAGTACGAACGGGGATGGTCCAGTTGTTTCCTTTCTTTGAGGTCTGCAAAAGGCATTGTAAGAGGGGCTGTTGTTCTTTGTCCTGCGCCATATCCGTTTACCTAGTCCATGGACGCCTTTTAGGAACCAAAGCGCTGCGGCAGGTACGTAGCAAGCAATAGGCCCTCTCCAAAGGTCATTTTGATCAAACCAAGACAAATCAGATTAAGAAATCGCATCCTCCTTCGCGCACTTGGGAAACTTTCCATGCCTCCGGCAAGAAGCAATCTCATGCGCAGGAGCAAGCTGCGCAAGGCGGTGATACGGTTCATTCTGGCCACTGACATCAAGGAGCAAGCTGGTGCTTTAGGTTGCCATGGTACAGGTATGTTGATTCCCTGCAGCATAGGCAGAGTCGGACGCAGAGCCCTTTGCGTCAGATTTGTTGTAGATGTGGGTCCCTGGGTCCACGCTAAGTCTCAGTGTGGATTGCATTCGAGGGAATGAGCATGGCTTGGAGACACGATTCCCGGCTCAAGCCTCATCGTTTGCACGAGGTGAAAGCCATTGTGTTTTCTGGGTGTCCCATGTTGCATAGACTGCTCAATCTTTGGACTTCTCTCATTGCGTTCTTTGAGCTGTTCTGACCGCCAGGAGCATCATGCGTCCTTGGCAAAGCTGAATGGACGGATGGAAGATGGCCAGTTCCTGCAGGCGCCATGAGTTCTTGGAGAAGAGGGCAGCATGAAAATCAGGGGTGGCTGACACGTCCAGCAATGTCTTGTGTTGGCAAGTCTGAATGTGTGTCGCTTAAAGCACCACAAGCTAGCGACTCAACCTGATGGGCGAGCAACAATTGAAAGCAGCAACCTTTGCTTGGCCAGTCCTGATGTTCGCTTTTGTGCTATGATTATTGCACACTGCGTTGCTTCCTTCCACTGTATGAAGTCCGCTTGCAGGGCCTCAGCGGTGTCGATCCGACCTCCATCGTGAGTCCATGTCAGGGCTTGGGGATTCCAATTGGACACGAGATCAAGCTTATCATGACCACCGTCTCAAGGACGTATCACGTTGGCAGATTCCTGGCACGATGAATGGAAAGGAATCTCCTAAAACGTCACCCTTGCACGACACCCCAAAGATGGAACATATATATGGTTCAATGTGATGTTGATCGTGCCTGTGTATTTTGTTGTCAATTACCAGAAAGGTAGGTCTATTGGACTATTTTTCTTTGGGGTCGTTTCTTTCCTTTGCGGTGTTATTTGCGGAGCAAGCTAGGGACATGCAGCCTTGCCGCAGCTGCTCAAGCATGCCGCAAGCAGCTTTGGAAGAGCTGTCATGGGCCCAGCGAGCTCTCTAGAGATCAGACAGATACCTTTGGCTGTTGACAGTCGTTTTCGTTGTGATACTCTTAAAGCTTGCAGTAGAAATCGGTACTTCAGGCCTTTGCCACTTCCCTTTGAATCTGTGCCTGTGTATCCGGCTGATCAAACTCCAAACTTGCTGAATACATTCACCCAGACCCGCAAGTGCGGCTGAAGCAGTTGCTGCATCTGAAATCAAGCTGAAGCAGAGAGGGAAAAACACCGTTTAGTCTGGCCTTGAATGGAGCGAGACTACAATGAGGCTGCCTGACAGCAATTGGGCCATGTGAGAAAGCCGCATCGTCATCATGTGTGACTTCAAACTGGTTTCTGAACAAGCACAACAAGCACGATCGTGAAATGGCTTCGCTGGCTTTGAACATGCCCCTCTGGGGGTGAAATATGTTATCTGAGCTCACACAGGTGCAGTTCCTTGCAATGCACCTCCCGTTTGCAAATGCCATCAGGTAGTTTTGTGCTAAGGGGGCTCGGCCAAACGAATCCACAAATCCAAGCGGGACGTTTGCAGTCTATTTCCTATACGTATTGCAAATAGTAAGAGGGTGTTCGATACCTGAATGCTGTCCTGTGACATCAGAACTTGACATGAGCAAAGCATGGGCTGCATATAAACAGTAATACCAACAGACCACTATTTGTAGACTATGACTATTTGTTTCTGTGCTTTCATGCTATTTGTTCCCTGTTCAGCACCTCTAAAGCAGAAGCCTTCGGGGTTTCGGCGCAATCTAAGGATATAGAAGTGTTTACCAGCTGCATGGGGCTCGTTTGAAAGACTGCCCCGCGCAACCTAGTGTTTGTCAAACCCAGGGGCCACTCCAGAGGCGTTTCGCAGTTGTCTTAACAGAGATCCCGTTTCGTGTTCACACCAGGTGAAGCAGACCATCCTGGAGGCTGGCAAGGGGAATGCCCTGCAGGCAGCGGTCGCCTCGGTTGCAGCTTGGCGCGAATGGGCAAGATGAGAACTCTGAGGCAGGGCGAAGAAGCCTGTCGTGGCTCAACCCGGCTTGCCTCCGTGTAAGGATGCATGGAAACTTTGACAGTACCTGAGGAGTTGTGGGGTTTTGAAAGCATGGTCTTTGAGGAACAACTCAACACAACGCACACAAAATCACAGGAGAGCCCTGCTTGATTGATTCTTTGTTGCCATGTCCAGATAATGAGTGTACAGTATCCCCCATTCTTTGAAGCACTTGGAAGCAGCCATACGTGTTTACATGTGTGTTTGCCCGTTGGGTTGGGTTGATTCTCCTTTGTGAGACTGACACCCCGGTGTTGGGCACTCGTCTTAGGTCCGTGTAGCTCTTGAAGAAGTTCCAAACTTCATTGAGGACCCGTCAGGGTATGTGGCTTGGTGAGATACGCTTGCGGAGCGGCATGAAGAGAACAACTCCATCTGATTTAGTCCCCTTGCCTACGTTGAGGGTCTTGCCTCCATGGCCCCATTGTGGCCAGGTGCAGGGCAAGCTGAATAATTCCGTTTGCTTGGAACTAAGACTGTGGCACTGGGCATTTGACCTGTGCTAAGGAGCAAGCTTGCCAAACCTGGCTGGCGCCACGGAAGCTGGCCATGCGGAAGATCCTCCTGGATCCGCAGAGTGCGTTGCTCTGATCAGTTGTGATGTACCATGAGCCGGCTGTGGGTCAAAGCCAATGGTACCGTTTTGAGGTAGGTGAACCACCCATTTTAGAACCTATTTTAGTGGGGATTGGGATGTTCACTGGGGGTACGGGCTTTGGACGCATGGCCAACCCCTGCAAGTGGTTGGCGTCGTTGCGGTTTGGTGGGCCCTGAGATTTGATGGTTTAAGCCAGGAAAGTGGTTGCTTGCATGGAATGGCTAAAGTTGGTCATTGGTCTTTGCCTGTATTGTTTGCTCCTCCGGGATGTTCCGCAATGATGCTATTTCTGTTCTGAGAGACATGGCGACTTGGACCGATACGCCTATATGCCCAAAAAAGTCACAGGGCAGGGGTTGCTGTTGGATCCCGACAGGGTTTGTTTAACCCTGCTTTTGCCCAGTCTGGCGCAGATCGCATGCCGGCAATGCACCTCCACACTATGTCGTTCTTTGCTTGCTTGCTTTGCCTAGGGAGCGTGGAACAATTCAGACTCCGACAGGTAGTTGGATCGCTTGTTCCCTCCTGTCTTCTGTGGCAGCCAACAATCCAGTCAGTTCAGTCCCCGGTCTCGCAGTATACCCGCGCCACTGTGCAGGAGGCGAATCAGCTGCCTGCAGATGAGGCACAGCGATGTGCCTTGGCCTATGGCGCAAACTGATGGATCTGCCACCCTAAAATCACCCAGCAGAAACTGGCGCAACGCCACTTGTGCGTTTGTAAAGCTATGATTTGATTGGTATATCTTGCCAAAGGCCAGGCTGGATTCCCCTGACGACTTTGCTTTCTGAATCAATTTCATGTTCAGCGATTCCCTCAGCCAGGCCTCGGACAGCTCTGCATCTTGCGGGGTGTCTCGCCACGTGGGGACCACGGCCATGTGGTGGTGGCGCGTGTCATCGAAAAGGGGCCACTTGGAAACACGCGGCGCGACGGGCGCCCGGGGCTGTGGGTACTTTGCGAAGGCGGCGCACCCACTGGCCGGTTTTTAAACTAGGGTTTGGCTCCTGGATGGGTGGCACGTGTGAGAAGTTCCGTGCCATGTTGCCACTCACATTCAGCCATTGTTGGACCTTACGCTCACAAGGATCACACACACCGTCATGTGGATGACTTTCTGGAATTCCCAGTCCTTTGTAAGTGTGTGTGTGTGTGTCTGTCTGTCTGTCTCTGTCTCTGTCTCTGTCTCTGTCTCTGTCTGTGTCTGTGTCTGTGTCTGTGTCTGTGGCTGTGTGTGGGTGTGTTTGTTTGTTTGTCTGTTTGTGTGCGTCTGTGTGTGTCTGTGTGTGTCTGTGCGTGTCTGTGTGTGGGTGCGTGCGTGCGTGCGTGCGTGCGTGCGCGCGTGCCCGTGCTCCTGCGCGTGCGCGTGCGCGCGTGCGCGCGTGCGCGCGTGCGCGCGTGCGCGCGTGCGCGTGTGTGCGTGTGTGGGTGTGGCTGTGTGGCTGTGTGGCTGTGTGGCTGTGTGTGTGTGTGTCTGTGTCTGTGTGTGTGTGTGTAGCGTGATGAGCAAAGAACGTCCTGTCACCTAATTGGGGGGGGGGGCGGGTTGATCGAAGTGTTCGAAGAGTCATGCGAAGACGCAGTAGGTATGGCCACGTTTCTCGGGTATGATGGGCCACTACGAGTCGCGGGCAGTATGCCCTCATGCTGCAGAAGTTTGGTAAACACGTACTAGAAGAACTTCGTGTCCAATCTAGGCGAGGTCCAAAACAGTAATTTTGGTTCATGATGTATGGTTCACCAATCTCGTGGCTTTCCTGCTGTTGGACCCCCGCAATCGCGGCGAAGAATTATGCCACTCGTGGGCGTTATGCTTCTGACTCCAGCTTTGTCAGCCGTCGGTCACTTCCATTTGCGAACCCACAAGGTGATGCTGAGGGATATGTGCCATGCTCCGAAGACCTCACTGAGTAGTAAGGATGGTCATCAATCCGAAAACGGAATTTGTAATTATCAAGAATATGTTTGCATTTCTTTTTGGTAAGACACATGCACATCATGAAATGTACATGTGTGGCCTGCACGATTCGTGCAAAATCGACGCTCAGGTTCGAGCTGCTCCCGAGCTGAATTCTGGGAGGGACACGCGGGGACAGCGTGTTGTGTGAGCAGGCTTAATGTGAACAGTTGGCCATGGGTCAAAATTAAACCACCAGGGGACCGCAGGCTTTGGTCCATGTTTCCACTTACTAGGGTTGCAGTTGGGGGACCTATTTTCCACCCACAGCCAGTTGAACTAGTCACGGAAATTGGCCGGGTTCAGTGCATGACCCTTGCTTTCGCGCCAGGATGCTACCAGGTGGCAATTTTCACCTTAATTTTAGTGGCCCTGTTCGGTGTGTTCAATCTTGGGACCTTAAAGGGTGGCGACATCAGCTTGGAGTGTCCAGTTCTTGGTGAACTTGGAGACTCAGTGGATTTTAGGGGCTGCAAAAAAGTATAGAACAGTCATGAATAGTCCCTTCGAGTTGGGTTGGCGTCTTGTTGCTGGAATCCTTGTAGTGTTTCTCAGGCGTTTGCCTGATATTGGCACACGTTGACTGGCAGCACACACGTATGAAGGACCCGTAGTTCTGGTGGCTGCATTCGAGGTGATGTTGATTCTTGGCTCCTTCCAAGGCTGCACGATCCCTTCCCGGGCGAGCCGGGCGGCGAGATGCTTCTTCAGCCCTTCGCGTGGGCAGCGCTAATCGGACCGCAGTAGACATGGCCCAAAGTGGCCCGGAAAGAAAAAGAGGGGCCGGGAGAAAAGACAACAGACCCAGAATGAGGTTTGCGGGTGGGTTTCCTTTCAGGCTATTGCCAGCCTATTTTGGAGGGCCTGTGGGAAGCTTTAGTCAGCTGCCCTTCTTCAGGCAGATTTCAGTTACTGTAAGATGCTTCCGGAGGCAGTTTCCGAATCTAGCTCATGGCTTGAACATAGAAGTCAAATGAGAGCATGCGGATCGCAAATGTGCCATGCGTGCAAGTCAACATGGTGGTATCAGATATTGCCTGACCAATTGCAGCCAATGCGCACGACCCTCGAGGTGTTTGTGCTCACTAGGATGCTGTTTATTCTGGATACGCATCGCCATTCTCCATTGAGACAAGATTCTTGTAGGTTTCTGCTTAGCCCTCCCTTGTTTTTGTTCTTTTTTTGTTCAACAATAATTGTTAAAAAAAACAATAAACAATACAAATAATAATAATAATAATAATAATAATAATAATAATAATAATAATAATAATAATAATAATAATAATAATAATAATAATAATAATAATAATAATAATAATAATAATAATAATAATAATAATTAATTATTATTATTATTATTATTATTATTATTATTATTATTATTATTATTAATATTATTATTATTATTATTATTAAAAAAAAAAAAAAAAAACCAGGGCGAAAATTGGCCCCTATGCGTCCGTTTGCTCGTTGCTCTGTCTCGAACTCGCGGGGCAGGAGACTTCGGAGTCCAAAGAGGCTGCGGAGAAGCTGGAGGAGGACACGCGTGCCCGCGGGCGCAACTGGCGGTGCGGTGGTTGTCAAAGCCGTTTTGGCACCACCGGGCTCCTTAAAAGATAACACGTTGCCCATTTGAAACATGGCTTTTTTTCCACCAAAAGAAAGGGAAACCACCATGTACAAGGCAATGTTCAGGTGTATGATGTAAGGATCCCTGTACCATTTTGGGGTTGGTGAATTCACCACGCATTTCAGAGCCTATTTTGGATGGATGGATTGGGATTTCACTGGGGGATAACCGGGTTTTGACCCATGGCCAACTAAGACCCGCCTGGCCCGGTTCTTTGCAGGCACAGGCTGGGGTCATGATTTTGACGGTTTCTGGGGGTATCAAAGTCAGAAAATGATATTATTTCCCTTTAAGGCACCACTTAGGGGGTGACGTTGATCATGTTAAAGTAATGAAGCCAGACAGGCTCGCCATGCTCGCCATGCTCGCCACTTTGCCAAGAGGTTCTGTTGCAAGGATCAGCTAGAGTGTGCATTGCCAGCTGAAGTTCTTAGGCTGCTGATCAACTTGACAGCTCATAGCGTCGCGCATGGCCTTTCACAAATTGCTAGTGGATGTCTTGCCGGCCAAGTCGAACAAGCGGAACCTGTGCCGGTTGCTTTTGAAACTCATGTTGTTTTTTCTTGAGTTCAAGGAGCGGCAATTGAAGAATCATTCATACCCACCCATTCACCTCAAATCACAGGGTGGTTTCCTGATGCCTTGGTCGCTGGTCAGTGGAAGATGGGGGCTTTCCGGCGTATCTTTGAAGGCGCTTCTGTTGGAAGGAGACTCCCACCGGTGCTGGGTGAAATCCGTTTGCCAGATACAAGAGTTTTGCAAACGGCCAATCCTTTGGACTGCTCAAAGCTGTTGTTCTACGACTGGAGCTTGCAGCTGTCTGTTTCATCCCGCATGCCAGCTCGTTGCCCTGGAGTTGTGATTTAGATGCCAATCGCTCATCGCTAGTAGCCAAGGGTCTTTTAATAAGAAGGAGCATTGCTGGTCAACCAACATGGATCAGGCCATTCCCCTCCCCCCCAAAAAAAATATAAGAAACAAAGAAGGAGCGTGGAGTGAAAAGAACCTTGCTGATGCGCCTGAACGAATCCGCCGTGAGGACCTGCTCATGGCCGGCGAGGCCATCATCAAGACGCCGCAACCTTAACTGGCGTTGGCGCATGTCCGGGACCACAATGAAGGTTCCCTAAGTCGGACCTGTCAGGAGGAATGGTTCTTGGGCACAGGCAGAAATCCAGGCGAAACAAGAGGACACAAGGTCAAGTCGTTGTGCTGCCGACACAAAGGAAGAACCAATACTGGCTTACGTCGCCAGGGCAAACTCAAGATTTTCGTTGAGGGACATAGGCAACCATACCTTTCGTATTAGCAGTTGCGCTGACAACCAACATGCTGGCTCACCCTACCTGCAACGTCTTAAGTGTGCAGTTTTTGTTGCCTTTGCGGAAATTTGATAGAATTTGGATTCTGGATTGGGACCTTTTTTGGATCGAGAACGTTTTTCTGAAGTATGAGGGCGCTCTGCCCTCGCCGGGGCTCGTGCTTGGAAACCTTGCTTCATTGCTTGTGGCTTTCTCGTTGGATTGCATGCTTCCGTCTACAAAGATTGGCAGATCATTTTCTTTAGCAGCTTTATGGAAAATCCAACTTTGCTCAACGAATTGCGTCAGCACATCAGCAGCACCACATTCCAGAAGCGCAATTTGTGGCCAGTTGCTCGTGAAATTGCACCTGACAAACACAGCCGGAAACTGCCAAAACAAAGGCAACAAAGGCGGAAATTGCCGGAAACCTCGAGCTGGCAGTGCTGGCCATGAGGGGATCCAGACGGTGCTCTGGTGGAAACAAACCTACAGCAACGGCTAAATTTGAAGAATAAAGGTCCTCACATCCAATTCAGGGAGACCAGGCAATGCGTCAGCAATGCGTCAGTGTGGCATTGCGCTGCGAAAGCGTTTTTTGAAAACAAAGGCGCGTTTAAAGAACAATGCCTTTTTTTGCGCAGGCTCTTTGCTTTCGCTCTTCCAGCCCCGAAAGTTTAACCCAGGGCAACGCAGGAGCCATGCCCGTGCGGTGGCCATGAACACTTATTGATATTGTTTCGGAGGGGTCCAAGCACGGGAGCTGACCGCTGGAAGCTTTTTGCTGTTTTGGTTATGGCCGTTGATGGTTTGCATTTGGGACTGGTGGTGGCATCGCTGTCGTCCCTGGACAGTCATCGCAGGTCAGATATCGCTCATGGCATGCTGCCCTGGGTCACGCCGCCGGATTGCGCGGCCGTGGGGCGGCAAGTTTGTCAATCTAGACCTGCTACAGCTTCATGTCAAAGCACATTCAAGCCTGCCGTCTCGAGGCAGTCAGTTTCGGCAAAGAACACACACGGGACTGCCACATAGTTGATGAATTAAATGCAGTAGCTGAGTATGTTCAGTTGTCTCAATAACTGCTCCTCATCATTATGGTTATCATCATCATCATCATCATCATCATCATCATCATCATCATCATCATCATCATCATCATCATCATCATCAGTCAGCATTGTTTGTCTTGCCTGGGGGTCAGGGCGGCGAGCGAGTGGCTTTGGAGCTTGCCTGAGTCGACTTTCATTGACTTGGAAAACGGCTCGTTTTCCGGACAAACAGCAATCGACGGAGATCGGAAGCCGCTTAGCCACTTCCGGCTCAGTGGTTCTTTCCTTTGGGAATCTCCTCTGGACGAGCCGTGAATGCAAAGCAGGGCGTTGGTGCCTGAGCATGGAGCATGGCCAGGAACAGCACCGGACCTGGTCGTACCGAGTGAACCTGGAGTTCTTTGAGCAGGGCGATGAGGAGAACTCGGAAGAGACTGCCCCCGCGTTAAAGCAGTTGTTTCAGGGGTTTTTGTTGTTTTTTGCACGAATGCACCCAGTTTCGTTTTATTGGGTGCGGTGCACCAGAAGGTGTGTCATGAGGCATGCCCGTGGTTTGTGCAATCGGCTTGCTGAATGGGTGAGTTAGTGGTGCCTCTAGCTGGGCTCTTGGGACGGTGCCATGGCAATCATAGGCAGCTCCCGGAGCATTGCAAAGGGTGGTAGAAAGTTGTTTGGAAGCTTGCTTGTTGCAAGCATTGTGCTCATGTTTGGCTCAGTGGGCTATGACGTGACAGGGGTTTTGTACCTGGCTATGGCGAGACTGAGTTGATGTCTCCGCTGAGCCAGCACCAGTGCATATGCCAAAGCTGCCTGAAGCGTACTGAGATTAAAGGGACTTAAGACATGAGATCAATACGGAACCTTGAGATATCTTGAGAGCGCTTGAATCATCCAAGCCAGAAAGCCAATCGGCGGTAAAGGCAAATAAGATTCGTTCACAACTGGAGTTCATGTCAAGATGAGGGCAGATTTGCAATTGGGTCAAACGGAGAATAGCCTGAAACGCGCGTTGCATCAATGCATTGTACACATGCTCCATTCCCGGTACCCTTTGACCCTCCCACAAAGCGGAATCATAATGGGAACTAGGTTTGGGCTATTTTGAGATGTCACACCCAGATGTTCCAGTGACCTGAGAGAACGCTAAAAACCTTGCGGATGGACAAACTCCTGCACCAGTTGCTAGGTTATGGCTTCATCCCAACTGCAGGAGAAAGCGTTGGGCCTCGCCATCTCGCCGCTTTGTGCCAGGGGCTTGTCCGACGGACATCGGCCGGTCGTTGATGAAAGTGGCAATTTGTAAGGCCGAATCTGGAAAAGTCGAGCTCTCAAAAAAGAAGAGGTGGCCCTTCGAGACGCAACGGAATGACTTGCGAGGGTCGCCCTTGAAGTTGGTGACAGGGGTTGATTGACCAGGGATCGCTGGCAAAGCAGCAGTCGAAGCCAGAGGGCCTGCCAAAGTTGCTCCAAGATGTAAGATACACAATGCACACAGGGCCCACTTTCTATCCCAGCTAAAGAGGAGCAGCCTTGAGTGGTTTTTCGTCTCCACGAACGCATGTAGATTCACGAAGTTTTCGGAAGTTTCAGGGGCCTGTGGATGGCATTGTACAGCTTTTGCCACACAATTCCAGCGCTTGGTTGCACATTATGTATTTTCTGCCTGGATCTTTGAATCGATCACTGCAGCAGTTCTGTTGCAGATGGTTCCACCATGGCAGGGTTGCAAGGTAAGGGCCGTCTCCTGCTTTGGAACAGGAGAGCATTTAATCAACAGCTTGTGCCCATTGCCATTTGCTGATTTGTTGAGAATGCCAAAACACCCCTGGGAGTCATCGGGGTGAGCTCATCTCATGGGCAGATGTAAGTGGGCCTAAACAGCACATGTCCCACAGATGCCGGCTGGCTCCTTTCGTCTGCATTTATGCAGGTTGCAACACTGTCATGGCTTTTATATGTGTGATTCCATGGTCGGTATCCAAACACGTTGCTTCCATGCGTGCCTTCCAACTATTTTCCTATGCTGAGTGTGCCAAGAATACCAAAACTTGGTGACTCCCGGCCATCCCCTTTGCCTTTTAGCTTTTTAGTGTTTAGTGGTAGTTTCCATTTAACTCACTAAAAATTAGTCACTTTTAGCGGGGGATCAGAAAACGGGCAGCCCAGGAAAGAGACTTCCCAGTGGGAACTTCCCAGTCGGAGTTTTTTGGCCCCAGTTCGCACCTCTCAGGACCGGGCCACATGCAACATCGCGGGTGGCCAGGCGTTCTTCATCGGCTGTTTGTGCAAGGACAGGGATGGTGCCAGCCAAGCGTCAAAATGCGCCTCACTGAAGTTGCTTTTCTTCCTTCTCATGTTTGGGGGAATAGCAGCTTTTCCAAGCGTGAATTTCCTGTCTCGGATCAGGTCATCTCCCGTAAAGAAGAAGAGAAGGAGTAGAGCTCAAAGGGGCAAGCGCTGTGGCGACCACTCTGCTTTGCAAACGAAAACGTGTGACGCGAAATGATATGGTGTCAGTGTCGCATGAACGCAACATGCAGCTCCTCATGACTTAGAACTGAACTTCAAAAGCCGCAAACCCCGAACAACGATAGGTGCCTACCCGAGACCGATACCCACCTATGAGAGTCAATGCTTTCCACGATGCACTTCCTTCTGTGCAAAAGCAATTTTTGGATCTGAAAGGCTAGTCCCGTAGGTATGTATTATGCATTTGCGCGATTACTATGCTTGGTTGCGGCGCAAGGCTCGCCAATGGTGCTTGAGCCAGCCGGAACTCTATGAACCCCGTAGCTTTCAGCTGACGGGGAAAAGCTCCAGCATGAGTTGCCTCGTGCACTTACTGCCCAGGCCTGCGTTTGCCCACGCGCAACATGATTCTTAAGCTTGCTGGAAGCATTGACAGTTTGTCACGCGTAATCATGCGTCTAGGTCCAAATTCTGACAGAGAATGCGGATTGTTTTCTTCAAACCCATTTCACTGAATAAAGGTGACGCCTGTATTGAAGTGATTCTCGGAATTGGACAAGGTTGTTCAAAGGGAAAAGAGAGCCCATGCTCAAGCATGTGGTTGGACTCAGTATTGGTGGACAGCCAATCTGTTGCACACTTGGGAAACTGCCACAGATAATCCCAGTTCAGACGTGGCAGCTGTTGGCTGTGCTGTTTGAGAGAGGCTGACGTTGCTTCCAGTGAGCCAGGACTTGTTCATAGTGCTGCAGAAGTTTGCCTCCGCAAGGCAGAGTGTTCTGATTTGCCCGGAGATTCCACATGTTGGGCTTTGCGCGGGATGCATAGTTGCCAGTACGGTCGGACGCATCGCTGCGAAAGATGCGCTTTTCTCTTTGGCACTTGTTCGTTTGGTTTTCCTGGATCTTTGGATGGTGATTGGCGTGTGGTTGCCTTCCTAAGTTCCAAGCCCATTCTAGGCTCAACGGTTTCATTGTTGGTTGCCCCGGCTGATGATGTGTTGTGGAGCGACAAGCTGCTTTTATGTACCATGATTTGTTCCACTGCCCACTGCCATGTTTAGGCGGAGTTGAAACAGGGCATACACCCTTTCTAGCCACCATATAACACGCATATTCCGTATACCTCATCAACCCGACAACCCCGTGCAGTAGTGATTTGAGGGTAGTGGAAGTTCTTTCAGAATTACGGAGGGTAAAGGCAGGGTCATTTGTATCTGGTCTAGTTGGCCGACTGTAGTTGATCTTGGCTTTCCCGGTTCGACCAAGTTTGATTGATCGAGTTGTATTTGCAGGGTAATGAGCTCCATGGCCAAGGAACCACCATACAGTTGAAGGGCCGGCAAGGCAAACCGTCAAGAGAGCGTCTTGCGACACTGGGCATATTGAGGTAGTTTTGGGTTCTGTCATCCAACATTGGCTACCGCAGATTCACACCTTGTCTGATTCAACGGGGGTTCCAACTTTCAGGACTGCGTTGCCAGGGACTCAACCAGGATCGCCAACTGATTCCCGTGATTCCTGATTTGGCTGGTTGCCTCGGGCAGAGCGAGCATTCATTTCGTTGGCAAGGAGAGCAGGAGCCATCCATCCAGCATCCTTTGCTACGCGGTGACTAGCCATCAGCCCTGCCATGATAGGAGTTTGGATAAGGGCAAAGTTGCCAGTATGGGCCATCCAAAGCACAGTGTGGAACGGGCACCACCATTTCCTTGAATAAAACCCTGATCAAGGCAAACAATCTTAAGCCCATCAAGCAAAGCTCCAGCAGCAGCACACGGCTTCCGGTGGCCAAATAATCCCCTCGATGAATGGGTATGTGTCAAATAGGGAGACCCCTTCAAAATGGTTGGTTTCACTCCGGCTTTCCCTTAAGATCCCAAACATCCCTGCAACCTTCAGGAAGACCCCAAACAGGGTTCTACCTTTTGAATACCCCCAAAAAGAGTTAAACCCAGGGGTGGTTGATTTCCCTAAAAGCAAAACCCCTGGGTTTAAGTCTTTAAGTCTACCTTGGGGTAGTCAACACGTAGAACCCCGACCCGAAATCTTCATCCCCTGGCACTCTCTTGGAACAGTGCGTAGGTCAGGCGCGGAGGCGCTGGACGAATGCCTGGCACTGGGGGAGAGCAACAAGGATTGCCCCGTGACTCACGAGCAAGGGCCTGGAACAGGGTGTTATAGTTCCCGTAGATATGGCTATCTGTCAAAACCCAAATCGTACCCCCAGTGAACATCCCAATCCCCACTAAAATAGGTTCTAAAATGGGTGGTGCACCTACCCCAAAATGTGGTCCACGGCCGTATATTTGTATGTTTTCTACA